CTAAGGACAAGCAAGGTTTTGACAAGCTGGTGTTCACGAAACATGTAAAAAACCATGTTTCGTGACGTCGATGAGCCCAAACCCTGTGTTTTCATAGGCTTGGCGGCTATAAGGCGTCCAAAGCTATGTTTTTCCTTAGGTTGTGTGTGTTTTAGCATGGTTTTCTTGAGGGGTTCTTGGTATTATTTGTTTTGTTTGCTTTTTTGTTTTTTTTTGTTTTGTATTTTCGCCGGCTCGCGCTGTGGCGCTGCGCCAACCCAGGGGCGGGCAGGCGAAAATCAGAGAAAGGCAGCGAAGGCAAAACAAACAAAGAAAACCAAGGACATCCTCAGAAAACCATGCGAAAAAGCTCCAAACACTAAGGAAAAACAAGGTTTTGGCAAGCTAGTGCTCACGAAACCTGTGAAAACAGAGCGTTTCATGACGTCGATGAGCAACATTCTGTTCTGGAACCAAAGCAAACCCACGACGGAGCCAAAAGGGAGCCAAGAGGGAGCCAGAAAAGGCCAAGAGAGAGCCAAGAGAAAGCCAAAAAGGAGCCAAGAGGAGCTTGCTGAAGGTTTTGAAAGGGGGGGATTGCAAACGCTTGCCGCTGTCCACAAGGGCTTCTTGAAGCTATGCCAAGGGGGAAAATATGTACATTCTTACGCAAATTCTGGGAGGCCAGAACACACAAACATGACGTCCCTGGGTTGCTTGCCGCTAAAGCATCGTTGTATATGTGATTTTCAATACCACGTTGAGCACTTTTCGAAGGTATACATTGTCTGACAATTTGGCGGAAGCGATTTGTGGGTGCCTTTGGGGAGCCTTTCGGGTGCTTTTCGGGTGCCTTGATGATGAAATCCATGGGCCGCTTGGAGCAAGAATAATTGTTTTCGTAATCGCACATTTTCATCGCGCATGCAGCATTTCTCACTGATAGATTGTTTTCTTGCCATTTGGTATGGGCGATTTGCCGGTGCCTTTGGCATGCCTTTCGGGTGCTTTGCGGGTGCCTTGGGGGTGCCTTGTCATTATGTTGTTCCCATGTTTGTCCCTTGTTCCTTTTTATGCCCTTTTGTCATCTTTTGTCCCCTGTGTCCTCTTTGGTCCCTCTTGTCCCTTTTGTTCCTTTTTGTCCCTTTTTGTCCCCTATGTCCCCTTTTGTCCCTTTTGTCCTTTCGTGTCCCCTTTTGTCCCCTTTGGTCCCTTTTGTCCCCTTGTGTCCCCTTTTGTCCCCCTTGTCCCTTTTTTTGCTCCCTTTTGTCCCCTTTGTTCCGTTTGTCTTCTTGTGTCGTTCTTGTATGCCTTTTGTCCTTGTGTCCCCTTTTGTCCCCCTTGTCCCCTTTTGTCTCCTTTGTGCCCTTTTGTTCCTCCTGTTCCCTTTCATCCTCTTTTGTCCCCTTTTGTTCCTGTGTCCTCCTTTGTCCCTTTTGTCCCTTTCTGTCCCCTTGTGTCCCCTTTGTCCCCTTTTGTCCCCTTGTGTCCCCTTTTGTTCCTCTTGTCCTTCTTTGTTCGCCTTGTGTTCCCTTTCGTCCCCTTTTGTTCCATTGGTCCCGTTTGTCTTCTTGTGATGTGTTTGTGTGCCTTTTGTCTTTTTGTCTCCTTTTGCCCTCCTTGTCTTCTTTTGACTCCTTTGTGTCCTTTGTCTCCTTTTCCTAATATTGTGTCTCATTTGTCTAAGTTTGTCGTTATGTTCCCTTCTGTTCCCTTTTGTCCCCTTTGTTCCCTTTGGCCCCCTTGTACCATTACTGTGCGGTCGTTGTCCCTTCGTCCACTTTTGTCGCCTTTGTCCCCTTTGCCCCCTTTGTCTCCTTTTGTCCCCTTTGCCCCCTTTTGTTCCCCTTTTGTCCCCCTTTATGTTCCGTTTGTCTCCTTTGTCCCCTTTCGTCCCTGTGTCCCTCTGAACGCATATAGGAGATTTTCCAAGGCCGAAGAAAGCAATAACAAAAGAACGACACGAGGGAGACACCAGGGAGACACCAAGAAGACATCGTGAGTTCAGCGTCCTCCGAGGCCCAGGAGGAGCACCAGAAGACGCAGGAGGAGCAGGATTATCATTAGGAGGGGGAGGAGGAAGAGGGGAGAGAGAGTGACGAGGCGGAGCAGGAGGAGGAGGAGAGAGGAACACATATAAAAGGGGTGGAGAGGAGGGATCAAGATCAACAGGACGACGAAGACGACGTTCCGTCAAGGCTAAGGCATCCTCGCCTTCTTCCGCGATGCGTTTCGGGTGCCTTTCAGGTGCCTTTTCTGGTAACCTCGAAGTGCTCATCGGGTGCCTTTCGCATGCCTTCAGGGTGCTGATTGGAGATCTCCCAGGGAGACCCGAGGAGACACGAGGGAAACAGCAGGGAGGCACCTTCATTAGCACATGCAGCACTTTCGAAGGCATATTTTTCTTAGAATTTGATGTGGTCGATTTGAGGGTGGGGTGCCTTTCGGGTGCTTTGCGGGTGCCTTGGGGGTGCCTTTCGGGTGCTTTGCGGGTGCATTGGGGGTGCCTTGGGAGACATGTGGAGACGTGTTCGTTCTGCTCAGTGGACGTACTGAGAGAAAAGGCCAGGACGGGTGAAATGCTGCGGACACTTTACTGATAGTTAGCCGCATAGGTACTTTAAGGCGCTGCAGACTCACGTTGAACTTTGCGCGTGGAAAAACAGCTGTGGAACATAAATGACAGAATGTCACATAGTCAGTGGGGCATTACATAAGCGATGAGGTGGATCACGCGGGGGGTCAGCATACATACATACATATACTGTATACCTGCCACTCGTCCGCGACTGGGGAAAGCTGAAATGGTGATAATCCTGTAGCACTGCCACGCGTTCGAAAGGATGTCGCTACGCAACATATGAAGATAGCAAATTCGAATCGTAATTTTCCCCCGCGATAATGAAGTTCGGCCTCGCCGCCCTCTCCCCCAACCAACTCTGTCTTGGCCAGAGAGAATCAACTCTTCAGGAGGGAAGGCCGGGTATGATTTATTATCCGGGGCTTGGGGTTAAACTTTTGAAGCTCCGCGAGGATTTCTTGGTTCCGCGCTGGATCACCCTCCCTGGCGCGCGGAGCGCGCCAGGGGCGGCGCTGGAGGCGCCGCCGTGGGGGCACAGCGCTGATCCAAGAAATCCGCGCGGAGCGCCACAAGTTTATAGTGGAGGCCAGTCCACAAGAAACCTTCCACAAGAAACTCAACCCTGAGACCCCAGGGCGTCCATCGATTTTTGGTGGGAACGTCACGCTTTTCATGGCAAAACCATCGAAACTCAAGAAACCCAGGGCACCCTGGAGGCAAGCCGGGTGTTTCTCGGCATAGGCCTCCACTGTATATTTATAGCGTTGTTTCTTCGAAACTTGCCCCCAGACCCCCCCGAAAAAAGCTCGGCGAACGGCAAAACGAAACAGCTGTTTGCCACACTGGAGGCCCCCAAAAACCGACCGAGGCGCTCCTCGGCGGGAAGCCCGGCCCCCCACGTGTTGCATGGTGCGATTTCGAGCCTCCCCCCGGCTGGACCTGGGGAGGACGATGTTTCTTGTGCTCGTCTGTAAGTAACGCCTCCCCCCGACGTCGGTGGTGGCGGAGATCGAACACAAAAAACGGCACAAACATGAACTTTGGCCGCTCTGCAAGGACTTCTTGGATCTGCGCTGGGGCCCCTGGCGGCGCTTCCGGCGCCGCCCCTGGCGCGCTCCAAGAAATCCGGGCAAACCGTCAAAGATTTACCCCCAAGCCACGCATAATAAATCATACCCCCCGTTATTCAAAAAAAAACTCATGCCGTCTTGGCTTTTTTCCAAATCATAACCCCAGATAGTTCATTATGTTTATGTCGCGTTCTGTTCTTCAAGGAGAGCAGGCAGCAGGGGTTGACGGGTTGGCCGAGTGTCTGAGAGGCTGGTCGGGTGGTTGGCGGGTTGGCTAGTTGGGTCATGTTGGGTTGGGGGGGCTGGCTGGTCAGGCTAGCTGTGGCAATTGGTGACCATTGGTTTCGATACTGCACTGCGCATACGGGGAACCACACGAGAGACCATACGGGAGAACACAGGGGATGATATACGGGAGATCATACGAGAAACCGCGAGCCACCGAATCCAGATCCAGAGGCGGAGCTCACACGCGCCTTGAAACAGTACATGTCTGTGTATATATATATAACCTTTACAGACAAGGTGCTTTGGGAAACTGCAGGACCCCGTCCGTCCGTGCTGGCTAGACGGCCGACCGAGGCCGCAGCAATTCGACGGGGCCGCGTCGACCGAAGCGGTCGGAGTCGCCCCCGCAGGCAGAGCGCCCGCCGATCCTGGCCCTGGGCCGACCCCGGGGCACGGGCATCGGTGCATGTATGCCGTCCTGCCTCGGCCAGGAGCACCAGCCCCGAGCCCATCCCTTTCCCTGAGAGTGGCAGGCCCAGGGCGACAGCAGCATCAGCGAGGCGCCCTCAGAAGCTCAGGGGATCCTCAAGGTCAAAACCGAGATGCGGTGATGGCGGTCATGGGGATGGGGATATGGCTCTGGGGAAACCAAAAGGTACCCATGCCGCTACTCCCTGCACCTCTCCTGGGGTGCGTTCGGACCAGAATTTCGAGGCGAACCCAGTTTTGGCGACGAGGGCCTCCGAGGAGGCCCCCAAAAAGGGAACAACGGGCCAAGGGTAGAGTTAAGTCGGTCCTGTCCCCCTACAGGGGGATTTTCGACGAAAAATAAGAAATACCCCGAAAATAATCAAAACATAGTCCAAACATTGTCTGGGGACTATTTTTTGATTACTTTTTACCTTTCTGGAGTATTCTGGGGGTATTTTTGATTTTTCGTCGAAAACCCCCCTGTAGGGGGACACGCCCGACTGAAGGGTAGAGGTATGGGCACCTGCTCCTCCTACGAGTCTCCGGCTGGCACGCGGAATGCGCACCAGCCGATCCCCGGCCCAGGAGGGGCCTCGCAGAAGCTCGACACGGGCGTATATAGCCGGCGCCCTCCGACCCGGGGCGCGGGGCGCGGCGGGGAGCGCAGGGGCCGTCTTCGATCAGCAGGCTCACGCCCGGCTTGCAGGCCTTCAGCAGCGCCCTCTGCTCCAACGTGGGCTTCATGGTGATCCGCCCCGGCCTCCGAGGTCGGCGCCGGGGGGGTGGGGGAGTCCGTCCTGGGTTCCCTGGTTGAGAGGTCAGCTCGTAGTGCGCGAGAGACCTCGCGTCGACTCTGCCGACGAAGGGGCAGGGTGGGTGACGCACCTACGGCAAGTTTACTTCAGCCTTGAACGATGGCGGCTTTCCGACAACGCGGATCGTTCAATGCCGGCCGATCCCTGGCCACCAGCGGCATTCGACCTGGAACGCCCGCGCTGGGGTCGGCGCCACGGCGCAACTCCTCCTCCTCCTCCTCCTCCTCCTCCTCCTCCTCCTCCTCCTCCTCCTCCCCATTCCACCTTTTGTCCTCCTCTTTCCACCTCCCTCCTCCTCCTGGTCCTGCTCCTGCGCAGGCTCCCGCGCCTGCTCCCACCACCACCACCCACCACCACCACCACCACCACCACCACCACCACCACCACCACCACCACCACCACCACCACCACCACCACCACCACTCCTGTGCATGCCTCCGCCCACTGCCGATGAACAGTGGACCCGCGCGCGCCCAGGCTCTGCTGCGGGGGGCATGCTGCTCACCACCGCCGCGGCAGAAATGAAGGGGCCCTGGGACTCACAAATAAATACACACAAATAACAGGATTCCCCATATTTTCCCATATTTTCTGGGTTTTTGTCTTCCCCCCCCACTTCCCATATTTTCCCATATTTTCCTGGGAGTCGGCGATGAATTGTGTCTGTGTGTTTCTTCCCCTCCTGAAGAAAGGACCCCCCGCCGTCGCCGGTCGGAAGCCGCCCGTGCAGGCGGCAGGAGCACTGCCGCGGGGCGCGCGGATCCCGGGGAGGACCTGTGGGCGAATGCTGCCTGGCGCAGTTCACCGTGCGGCGTGCATCGTACATCCTCGTTCGTGCGCGCCCTGCACGGTCCGGCCCTGCAGCAGCTTGGAAGCGCGATTGCTGTCTTCTCTCTCGCAACTGCGAGGGACGGAGGAGGGACGAACACAACCTGCAATAACTGGCTACGTACACGCAAAACCGCTGACACTTCGGCGTGTGTGAGACGCTGTCGTCATCGTCTTCGTGGTCGTCTTCGCCGTCGTCGCCAGTCCCAAGGAAATCGAGGAACAAACACAGGAGAGGAAGGTCATAGTTAAGTCGATTCCCTTCCATTTTTCCTTCCATGCCAGGGGTAGGGGTGGGGGTGGGAGTACGGTGGAGGACCCAGGTCAGATTACGGCCGCCCCCCCCCTTCCAGTCCCCTGTTTGGACGGGGGGGAGACAAGGTGATGCCACCCTGTGGACAGAGGAACTCAATGCCCCCCCCCTCCCCTCTCTGGCCCCCCCCGGTGGACAGGGGTGACAGGGGTGGGGTCCCCCGAAAAATCGCTCCCCGGCAGAAGGGTTCGTTCCCTGGTGGCCATTTCCAAAACGGCAGAAGGGTTCGCTCCCCGGCAGGAGGGTTGGTTCCCCGTACTGTCGCCCAGGCCCGCCGCCTATCCAGGGCCGGGCCATCGATTGCCTCCCGAAGCAACCTCAGCTCCCGCGACATCCGGCCCTGCCGCTCCGCGAGCAGCGCGCGCTCGGCCGCCAGCGCCGCGCCGGCCTCCACCAGGCGGACTCCTCGGCCGCAGCGGCCGCCGCCGCAGCTGCGGCGGCAGCGCCGTGAGCCCCGGCGCGGTCGGTGTAGCCGAGCGCCGCCTCTAGGATCCTCCCCAGACCTCCGACGTCGTGGGTTTTTTCAATACGGGACCCCCGGAATTCTCGACCCCTTCCCCAGGACCGGCTTTTCATCTGGAATCGTTTTTTGACAGTCTCGGGGCCCGGCGAGGGCTCTCAAATGCCGAAAATTGTGAAAAACGTCTCTCTTGATTTTTCAATGCGCTGGGGCTCTCTAGGTCCGCTCCTCGTCCGGCGCCCAGGGGTTTAGTGAAGTGATGAATTTCGGGGTCCTTACGTGGGAAAAAACATCACTTCACTAATCTGGGGCCCCTGGGGCCTCAGTGGGCCCTGGAGCCCAAAATTAGTGAAGTGATGGTTTTCGGGCCTCGGACGCAAGGCCGCGCCCGGGCGGCGGCGCGGCCGGCGCCGGGCGCAGCAGCGGCCAACCACGCCGCACGGGCCCCGCGCCGCCGCTGCCGGCACGGCGCCGCCGCCAGCGCGCTGGGCGACACGGCCCCGCGGGGGCGCGCCTGGCTGGCTGCTGCCGGCCGGTGCCCGCGCGCTGCGCGCCAGCAGGCCCGGCGGCCGCCTTTCCCAGGCCCGCCCCGCATGGAGCAGGCAGAGGGCAGAGGGCAGAGCCGAGGCAGAGGGCAGAGCCCCTGCGTCCCGTGGAACTCTCACGAAGAGGGCGAGAGAGCCTCGGAAGACCGTTCGCGGGGCCCTTGAAGAGCCTTCCCAGAGCCTCTCGAGAGCCTCTGGATGGCCTTCCCAGAGCCTCTGAAGAGCGTCTGAAGAGCCTGCGCAGGGCCTCTGCAGAGAGCCTTCGCAGAGCCTCTGCAGAGCCTCTGAAAAACTTGCGAGGACCGGTGAACAGTTTTTGAAAAGCTGTTGAGAGCCCCTGCGGAGCTTTTGGAAAACTTTTGAGCGCCTGTGCAGAACCTGCGAAGAGCAAAAGAGATTCTGTCCAGAGCCGTTGCGACCCTTTGGAAGGGCATCCCCAGAGCCTCTGCAATGCTTTTGAGAGCCTCTGAACAGCCTTTGAAAACCTTTTGCGAGCTTATCAAGAAATGTTGAACCTCTTGGGGACCTCTTGGCCGTCTTGGGGCTCTCTTGGGTTTTGTCTTGGGCCGTCATAGGGCTCTCTTGGCCGTTTACGTTGCAAACGTCCGGGGAGGAGGAGGAGGAAGAGGAGGAGGAGGTGGAGAAAAAGGAGGGGGAACACGAAGGGAAGAATAATATAATGCTTGAGGCGACGTCTTCGTTGCAACCGTCGGAGGAGGAGCACGAGGAGAAGAGGAGGATAATGTTTCAGGCGGACGAGAAAGGACGATGGATATGATGATGAATATGATGATGTTGGTGGTGGTGATGATGATGACAATGGTAGCGACGACGAACGACCAGGTTGACGATGATGATGGTAGTGACGATGACGATGGCGACGATGACAGCGACGACGATGAAGATGAGGATGATGACTGTGATGCTGATTACGGTGGTGATGGGAATGACGGTGATGATGATAATTGAGATGCTGGTGACGAGCATGCTGATGTTGATGATGATGGTGATGCTGATGATGATGATGACGATGATGATGATGCTGATGATGATGGTGATGATAATGAGGGCGCGCCGCTGAACCCCCCCAAGCGAGGGGGGGTCCGGAACTCCACCCCCTTCCCCTGTCCGTCGTCGGCGGACCCCCCCTTTCCTGGTCCGTCGTCGGCGGAACCCCCCACACCCCTCCCCTTCCCGGTCCGTTGTCGGCGGACACCCCCCCTTCAAAAAGGCAGGAAAGGAGGTTCTGGTCCCCTCCCCCTTTGGATTCGAAATTCGGACCCGCCCCCCCTCCCCCCCTTTCGCCACGCCGCTCCCTACAACCCCTAATCCAAATCCTAACCCCAGCCGTCATCCTTGAGCCAAGCCGTAATCCCAAACCCTGAGACCCATCGATAAACCCGAACCCCAACCCACAACCAAAAACCCGAATCCGAACCCCTACACCGTGCCCATACTCACTACCCACTACTCCCTAGGCAGTGCTCACTACTCACTGCTCACCACATGTGACCCACTACCCACTACTCACTACCCACTATTCCCTACTCCCTACTCACAACTCACTTCTCACTACTGTCTACTCAAAACTCACAACTCGCTACTCCCCGCTCGCTCCTCACTACCCACTACTCACAACTCACTACGCAGTATTCCGTGCTCCCTACCAACTACTCACTACGCATCCTGTACGACCCACTACTCACTATTTTCTACTCACTACTCACTACTCATAACTTACTCGCTACTCACTTGTCAGGACTCGTGAGTCCCTACTCCCATCAAGCTTCTCCCTACTCGCTACTCGAAACTCGCTACTCACTACCCACTAGTCATTACTCATTTAACCACTATTCACTTCCCACCACTCATTAGTCCCAAATTCCGACTGACTGCGCATAAATCACTACTCACTGCCCCCTCCTCACTAAACACTGCAAACTACTGACTACACTCCACCAGCATACCCACTACACTACCACGCGCCCACTATTTACCACTGTCTGTTCGCAAGTCGCTACGAACTACCCACTACCGAATACTCACGACCAACCATCCACGACTCACAACCACCGTCACTACTCACTATTCATTGTTGTTTACTCTTTAGAACTACTCACTACCTACTCACGTCTCACCTCTCACGTCTCACTTCTCACTACTCACGCCCTATGCAGTACTCAACAATCACTACCCACTACTCTCGGCCCACAACTTACTACTCACTACTGACGACTCACGACTCACTTATTAATCCACCACTCACTACTCATTGAATCATTGCTCACTAAGCACTACTAACTACTCACCGCCCACTACGCACTACTCCCTATTCACTACCCACTACGCACTACCCCCTACTCACTACGCACTACGCACCACTGACAATTGACAACTCACCATCCACCACTCACAATTCACTACTTTCCGCTGCTCACTACCCACTACTCCCCAGTTGCACGCTACTCCCTATTCCAACTCACTACAAAACTACACATTAGTCATTACTCCCTACTCGTTACTCACTATGTACGACTCACTAATTCATACTCGCTACCCACTGCCCACTACTCCCGACCCAATGCCCACTTCACACTACGCACTACTCTCTACTCACTACGCCCTCTCTTACTCCCTACTCCAGACTCCCTCCTCGCTAGTCAGTGCTGACGACCCCCTGCTCGCTACTTACTACCTACTAGTCACTAGCGACTACCCACCACTCACCACTCACTACCCACTAATCGCTACCCACTACCCCCTAGTCACTAGTCGCTACTAACTACTGGCCACCCACTG